TAAGTGCTGAACCAGTAAGAGGTCTGAACCATTAAGAGCTAGTATATTGCTTAACTATTCAGAGGCAAATGTCTGATCAATTCAGATAAGAGGTCTTAACCATTCAGACTCTGTATAATACTTAACCATTCAGAGGCAAATCTCTTAACCATTCAGACATCTGAACCATTAAGAGGCTGAAACAAACAGTCTCAACCATTAAGTGCTGAACCATTCAGACATCTGAACCATTAAGAGGCTGAAACAAACAGCCCCTAAGATGGTTAGCCCTTGTTCTTTTTCCGTCTTATTTGACGCCTCTCCGTTAATTCACAAATTCCACAAAAGTAAGACGCGATTGGTCGCTTTGCCGCCCACCGCCCCGGCCATGACATAGGAGCTGTTTGGAAACATATTTAGTGTTTAGTGTTAAAGATTAGAGTTAGAGTTTAACTGTTTGTATCAGAGTTGGTGATTAGTTGTTTTATTTTTTATCATTTGGCAGTTGAATATTTAAAAAAGCTAATGTATTGTAAATTACTAAAATGTCCAATTCAAAACGTATCCTATTTTTTAATGTTGGTTGATTTTAAAGAGCATTTGGGGTTCTAAAAAGAAATGGGTTATGTTAAAAATCATGAGAAATTATCCATTTCATAAACAAGTTTTAATTGTGATTGCTTGTATGACTTTGCATAACTACATATGACGACATGCTAGTAGCAAAGATTTTGATTTTTTTGAATTTGAAGACGAAGATTTCAGACAATGAAGAAACTTCTACTTCTCATTGCAGAGGCACAAATGAATCACAAATGAGCTTGCTTAGAGATAAAATAGCAGACAGTTTGGTGATATATAGGGTCAATCTCTAAATTTTTTTTAAACTTAATTAAATATCTATTTTGTTAAAAGACTATCCCACATCGGAACTTGGAGAGAATATAAACCGGTATATAAGCCCTTGAGTTGAACTAACTAATCGATTGGATTCAATCTTTTAATGGGGTTCAACCCAAGTGTCTTATTACCCAATTCAGTTGTCCATATTCCATCCTAAAATTCTATCATGGTATTAGAGCCAGTTTTAGCCCACCTCGTTTGTCAAAGTGTCCGTCTAGACGTTCATTCCTAGCGGCCCGTTAGTCTTTAGCCCAGTTGTCCGTATGGAGGTTGTACCCAACGGCCTGTGGCCTGTTTAACACGATTGCTCGTCTGAAAGTCCATACCCAGCGGCTCGTGGTCCTTTAGGTGTTGGCGCTCAAAAAAAAGTCAAGGGATTGGGAGTTAATTTGCAAGTGGTCAACCGGTTAGATTCAAAATGACCCAGTTGTCCACTTGAGGGGAGTGTTAAAAGAGTATCCCACATCGAAACTTGGAGAGAATATAAACCGGTATATAAGCTCTTGAGTTGAACTAACTAATCGATTGAATTCACTCTTTTAATGGGGTTCAACCCAAGTGTCTTATTATCCAATCCAGTTGTCCATATTCCATCTTGAAATTCTATCATATTTATTTCCAAGAATTTCTTAAGTTTATTTTTTTGTAATATAATGTTCATTTCTTATGGTATGCTAAATTATTATTCCTTAGTTCCAATTTAAAAAAATTATTTTAGTTTATAATGCTTGACTAACATTATATTCAATACCTCCATATAGTTTATTTGAAAATGGAGATGAAATTAAAAAATAAAATTTGCATAAATCAAAACTACATTAAAAATATATGAAACTATAGGTAAACTATTATTTTTTTAAATGAGTTAGACTCTGATAATAGTAAACAGGGAAACAAACTTGGGATAGAATGAGTAAATTATTGGTTCATTTATATTGCATACGGATTGAATTTTTAACAAAATTCTATCATGTTTTTAAACTAATGATTCCCTCTAAAAAAACTATTTTTAAAACTTGTTATAAAAAAATGTAATGACAAATGTAAAAAATTCACCTGAATATCTTTAAAATCAACCAACATTAAAAAAATAGGATACATTTTGAATTGGACATTTTAGTAATTTACAATACTTTAGCTTTTTTAAATATTCAACTGCCAAACGATAAAAAATAAAACAGCTAATCACCAACTCTGATGCAAACAGCTAAACTCTAACTCTAATATCTAACTCTAAACACTAACTCGATCTGTTTCCAAACAGCCCCTATGTCATGGGGCGGTGGGCGGCAAAGCGACCAATCGCGTCTTACTTTTGTGGAATTCGTGAGTTAACGGAGAGGCGTCAAATAAGACGGAAAAAGAATAAGAGCTAACCATCTTAGGACCTTATAGAATTAGGGGAGATATGAGCTCAATCTTAAACTCTTCTAAATAGTAGCAATTGATTTAATTAATAAAACAAAAAAAGCTATATACCACGCGCCATTTGTGGCCAACTCCATTTCACTTAAACTCCATTTGCGGCAAGTTCGAAAGTTTAAAAAAATTGCCAAACTCCATTAGATGAACACTGAACACACAACTATTGAATATGCATTATACATACAAATGAACGAGGTTTTTTTTATCCTAGCTCTGAATTCTTACCACAACCAAAGTCAGCCACAACTAATGAAGGATTATGATACTTGATCCATTTTATAACTATATTAGCTGGCTATTCAAGCCAATGTGACATCTGATACTAGTCATGTATGTAAGAACATGTTCTAAATAGAAAGCCAATATAACGTTAATTCTAAATGAGGCAAAAAAGTGAAAGTCTAATATAATCCCAACACCATTTGGGTCTTCTTACTTCAAGATGTGACATCTGATCGATACTGGTCATGTAAGTAAGAATATGTTCTAAATAGAAAGCCAATATAACTTTGATTCTAAATGAGACAAAAAAGTGAAAGTCTAATATAATCCCAACACCATTTGGGTCTTACTTCAAGATGTGAGCGACCTATCCTCCTAAGAGGTTAGTTTCATTAGAGCATAAGGGCTTATATGCATATACTGCCGAAATTTCATATAAAGTAAAACACAATAGAAATTTTATGCACTATTTTGATATAATCCAATATCTTTTTTATCCAAAGTTAAGATATTGTCAATAAACAATTCTTTTAACTATATCGTCAAGGGACGACAACAAAATCACACCCAAAACTTAGTACCACAGACAACACGGCTATTTTTACCTTGCTCCTGAATATTTATACGTGTATCCTAATCCACAACTCAAATAGTCTGATTTGACATTCTTAGGAAGAAAAAAGAAACTTGATAAACCCCACCTGTAAGTGTTGCCTCAGGCCCATAGAGTGTCAAACAAGACCACACTTAAGGCCAAAATTTTTAATCAATAAATATGTGAGACTTGATTAACACCTTATAGATATATGTCAAAATTCTTAAGCAATAAATAGAAACTCAGTAAATTGCTATAGTAAATTGTCCATACAGTGCCAAACAAGACCACATTAACGTCACACGTAACCACATACTGACAATCATGTCATTATATAAAGTCATACATGCAAATGCATAATGTTAAACAAAGAGATAATGTCAAATATGACAATGTATAGTGCCACACTTCGCAATGCATAATGACAGATAACCACTTAAAATTAAATTTAACCACTTATGTCAAATTAAATATCAAATTGAATTAAAATTTATCCCAGGGGACGGAGGCATCCGAGCGATGAAATATGGAAATGGTGGAGAGGGGCAGAAAGAGGTTGTGTGTATGAGAGAAAGGGAGATGATGGAAAATACATTGGAATCATTGTCGCATAGAGGAGATTGTAGCGGCAGAGAGGGGCTTGAGATTTGGTTGACAGCGTCAGCAATTGAGATTAGAACAAAGGAGACCGGAGAGGAATGAGATTGGGAAGAGGCCGGGCGACATTTTCGATCGCATAGGGCTAGAATGTGGTGTTTTTTGTGCGAAATTACTCTTATTTAGAATAGTATAAGTTTGAACTCCTATTTTGAGAATGACATATGCTTTAGAGTTTTCTTTAGTATAAAGTGCATAGCACAAGTCAGATTATATACTCTCTCCGTCACAGTATGATAGAAGAGGCAAAACATAATACAAAATCCATCAAAACATGATTTCAGGAACTATCCTCAAAACTCAATACTTGAAGAGGCCCTGCTACAGATATGAATTAAGTTAAAATCACAAGGCTAAAAATCATTAAGAATACTAATGAAAATGTGCTCAACCAATTGAAATAAAGTCCCAACAAAAACACAAGCAACGAATGATCTATTGGGACAAATGCCAAATAGGGCAGAATTCATAGTACCAATATGGATAGCTTGTTGGTCTGGCATTCATAACCACATGAAATAAACACGACCCTCCTCTTTGGACAACAAACAATGTATACCCATCTTTGGATACCAAAGCATTAGATAGATATATTTATTTAAAGAACTCAATAATTAAAATACTAAAAAATGAAATACAAATCCGGAAGTATCTGTATTGAATCTAATTAGAATAATGTAAGAATTGTGCAACTTTTTGTTATGCATGTATACAACAAAGAACAGGTCTGAATCTGTATACACAGAAATTACAGGCATAAACACATCTGCAAAAATTCAGAAAATTGGTCATGAGCCTTGATGAATCTTGAAGTATTAAACACATATCTTGGAACTTCAAATGTGATGCATGCTTTGAAAGAATGCCAACTTGAAGTAGAGTCTGAAGAATGTCTAAATAACCATCTACCATACAGCTGTGGCTGCTCCAAATCTAAAAAACAGAAGAAACCTGTGATTGGCAATGATCACTTAGACGCCACCCTTTAGGCTCACTCAGATATTTCTTTGACTCTATGTAGGTACGGAGCTCAGAGATCACTCCGCTTGACTGTTTACCGTCCAATGCTTTCATGAAGTCTCTGGCGATAATGTTCATAAGCTTCTCAAAATGACGCTTGTACTTTCTATATAGCACAAAACCAGCCGCCTGCAAGCATGGAAGGACACCTTTTAAACATATGTTTTTAAACGGGTATTGCATGAAATGTGTTATGTAGTCCACTTACTTCAAGAAAGGCAATTAAGGCAGCAGCAGTGTACAAGTTTGCAGGGATTGTATTTAAGAATCTGGCCAACCATGCCCAGCCTTCTTGATGCCCATGCAAGTTTTGGAAGCCTTCAACTTCAGTCTACAAGACACAAACTTATGAGTACTTTCATCTAATCTGGCTATTTGTAAAGCTAATGCAGATATAAGGGTCAGTTTGGAAAAAAGGGTTTTGTAGGGGAAGCCTTCGGAGGGTGTCAAGTGTCGCATTGAAAGTATTACAGGTTTGAGTTAAAAACCTAGTCAAACTGTGGTTTGCATGTATGCATGGTGCCCATGATTTTGGAGCAGATCACTTGGGATCAGTTTGCCAAATTTGTCCAACGCGTGCTTAGTGCCTCACACTGAAAGCTTAATAGTACGTAGTTTATATCTTAATAAGTAGAATGTTTTGAAAACAAATGAAAGTAGATTGAAATGTTATATAAATGTTTATTATGTTATTCCTTCATTTTTTTAAAATAAAATCTTAAATATATAGTCGTACTATAGTACTACCTCCATTTCACAAAACAATTCCTGTTTACTATTCCAGGCTTCCAATAACTTTTGTTTGCATGTTCTTTTTCTCTGGTAATTTGATAAGATGAAATTTTCTTGTCACCACTTGTTTTATACTCCCTCCGTCCCAATTTAAAGCGTCTGTTTCGGTTTACGATGTTTGACTGAAATTATTTTCAAATCATTTTATATGACAAATGGTATAGAGTTCAAAAATGAAAATTACATATTGAAATACTAAATCAAAAGATCTACAAAACTAGTAGTGACAATAGTACTTTATTTTATCAAATTGCTAACGAAAATAGAGAAAAAAAAATGAATGAAGGCACTATAAATTGGGACGGAGGGGGTATAATTTTTTATGCAGTTTTTAAATATGTAAGTTGTACTTTTTTTCATACCAATTTGTAAATAAATGTATTCTAAAATAGATGGGATTTTGCATTTTATTCGAAACAAGAACTCTTTTTTTAAACGAAGGATTATTAAGAATCAAGATTACAGGCTGGACTTTCCAAAATCCTCTATCCAAACTGACACTATGGAAGCAGCAAACCTGAACAATAGCTCCATATAGTTTCATGTAGGCATGTAATCGACTTAAATAACTATTATCAGATTCAAACTTTCCATCTTCTTGAAAGCCAATAGCTCTACAGTAAGCTTCTTTGGTCTTGAAGACTGACTGAAAGTAAACACAAAAAGTGCACGTAAGCAAAAGTTACAGCTAATGAATGTTATAGAAAAAGTAAATAATGTGGTAACTAAGACATGTTATGATTAAAATAAAAAGAGAACAGAAAACAATAGATCACTCTGGAAGCTAACATACTAATGGCCCACTTGGAAACACCTAAAATTGCTTCAGGAATCAAATTCTCCAGTGTTTGGGTCATTCCTAATGCTAACATTAAAGAAAATAAGGGCTTGGTCAATTGTAAAAGAAGACCTCCACGCTACGGAAAGTGTCTTCTGTTTATTTTTTGAGGAAGACCATTTTTTAATCAACAGTCTGAGCTTCTTCAGCAGTCCACCTTGTCTCGCTCTCTTCTTCATCTCTTCATCACAACTCATCACCACCTATCTCTTCCATCAACAGAGCCAGCTCTCCCTGACTTCATCTTCAACACAACACCACCACTCTGTCATATTCTACATCTCTCCAGTTTCTGATCTAGGTTGGAACATGTGTTCACCTTGTTGCGACTTGCGGATTTAGATTTTTTTGTTAAAAAATCTAGTAAACCCTTCCCAGTTCCCAATTGATAGAAAAAAAACCCTTCAAACTTAAAATATCCCTAAAGATCTATCAATACTCTCAATCAATGTTAAATCCTTCAAAATCTATGGGAAGAGATTCTTATCATGATTTCTGTTCATTTTAGATTTCTATTCTTTTGTTCTGTTTATGATTATAATATGTTATGATATCTGAGTTTTCTGGAAATGAACCGAATATGAAGGTACAGTTTTTGAACTTTCAGCCAAATACCAGCAAGTGAAACTGTTGATTTCCAGAAAAGTGTCATTTTGCAGAGATCATTTTATGGGTTTCCAGACAAACCAAAAATGAATGAGACAAAAAAGCACTGGTTACCGTAGAGTACTCTATATACTTTGGAACAGTATATATACAAACTTTGTTCAGTTCAGAAATGACAATATCCATAGCACCTGGGACCTGCCATATAAGCAAATATAAGAGTAAATTTAGAAACAAGAAGCTTTTGACTCTACGTAAAATCTCGAGTTTGACAACCTTGTGCACAACATCCCATACAACAACATTACCCCAGTGCTTAACTGGCTCCCGCCCATTACGGGGTAAGGGGGATGAGATGTATGCAGTTTGACCCTTATGTTTAAAACATAGAGCGGCTGTTTCCGGATGATCCATGATGAGCGTCGAAAGTTGCATTGACTAGCGGCTACAGGCTACTTCACTATTGAAAAAGAAGTGCACATAGTTTAAAGAGCTATTTTGCTTTATCCCATCATGCCCAAACCCAAAAAGTAGTGAATCTTCGTGCACAACATTCCATTTGAACAGTTTATCTTCTCCTAGGGATAGAGGTAAGGTCTGCATGCATACGACCTCCCAAGACCTTAATGTCAAGCATAACAGGTTTGTTTGGTTTGTTAACCCACATTTTCTTAGTGGCATTAAATTTTAGTGCCACAACTTAACTGTTGAACAATATCATGATTTTTCAAAGCATACACCAATTTCTTTGTCCAATAGATGCCTAAACAAAAAAGAACATATAAGAATTTACCTGAGATGTTACAAGAACAATCGCACGACCATATGCGTAATGAAGACCATTAGAACCTCCAAAACACGTCACAAATGAGAAGATAATCTGCATATTGCAAGCACGTAGAAGCTTAGCACACTTTCCTTCAATGATGCACAAACATTACTACAATAGTGTTTCCCCTGCCCTATATGTGTCAAATCCTAAACACACCTGAAGCCAGGCCGGGGTGGTGTCATAAACAGGACTAGGGTTGGCGTGGACAAGATACAATTGCAACATGTTGGTCTTAGCCCGACAACACTTCAAGCTTTTAATTTGTAGAACTAAGGTTCAAAAAAAAATAAGTTCTAAAATGTCAAGATAAATCTGATGTTCAAAATACATAATTGAATATTTATATTTTTGAATCTATAAACTTTTTTTTGTCTCAATATGATCTTCCCACGATCCTTTTTGGATGTCCCAGAATGATCTTCTCATTTCTCTTTAAGGAAAAAATTGTGTGGTTAATTTTATTTGTTTCTTCACTGCATAAACTTCAACCGCATAATTTCACTTTTATTAAACCGTGTCATTTTCACATGGGAAGATAAGTTTGGGATGGTGGGAGTACATCTACAATTATTCTTGTTATTTAAAATGATTTCTTTCGATCCAAACATTAAAGCGTAAATTTGCATTAATTTAAATATTTAAGAATGTCTTGTAAAGAATTTATAATTTGTAGAAAAATATTGTAATTTTTGAGTGAATTAAATTGTTAGATCTTTTTTTTAGCAGAGTTGTAGAGTATTCATATATATTTTGCCGAGAAACTACTCCCTCCGTTTATTTTTACTTGACCTATTCATTGTTCATACGTCAAGATTTATCCTTTGTCTATTTTTGTTACTCAATTGATAAAATAATATATTCATATCATCTCTTGTTTTTTGTATAAATTTTGATATAACTTTTAAAATAAATAAATTGCATTTTTTTAATTTTACACAAATTTTCAAATAAAGTGAATTGAAAATTATTTTTCAAACATTATGATCTAAAATGGGTCAAGTAAAAAGGAACAGATAGAGTACTATTTTGTGCATAATTAATACAGATTATTTCAATCTAACTAGGACATATGAGATTGACGCACTGTAGTTAGCATAGACATGCAATATGTTTTTTTTGTATTTAAACAGGTTGTATTGTTAAACTATTGAGATAGTGAAATACATATTAAAATGCAACAAGTTTAGCCCATGTCAGCCAAAAATTAAGAAAATACGGCAACTTCCACCTAATTTAACATTATCAAACATGCACCCACTGTCATTATTTGAAAATTGTTAAATTAAACAAAAAAATGAAATGATATAAAATTCTTAATGTGGTGGGTGTGAAAATATGATATGAGGCGAAATAAGAAAAATATTGAAATATAAAATTCAGATTTTTATATTAATTGGTTGAAAGTCCGCAGTGAGTTGGCATTTGGAAACTTGCCAAAGAAGGCAGGACATCCCCACTCCACATGGCTGGCTGGAGGCCTGGTCTGCTAGGATTAGAAAGCATGTTCTCCAAACAGAGTAAACTTTCACTTTGCATCAAAAACACACAAACCACCAAAAGAATGCTCTGATGCCAAGCAGAAAAACATACAACAAGGGAAGGGAGGGGAAACTTAACCATAGGTTCATCATTCTTAAACTATAATAGTATAGAGTAGTAAATTTACTGATCAAGAACGGGAAAAAGGATTGCATACACAAAAGTTTTAAGAATTGAAAAGCCACCTTGTTTAGTCTGTTTACGCTAAGGACATTGAGCAAACATTAACTACAAACCTGAGAAGATTATAGTAAAAACATGAGTTAATCAATCTACCTGTTCTGCAAACATTGCAATGCTTATGGATTGAGGCCATCGTGAATAACTTATTAATCTAATTAATACATCTGCTCTGACCCTGTGCAGGAGGAAATAGTAGGTGAGAACCATCATATTTTGATTCAATAAACAGTTTAACTAAAAGAATTATTATAAAAACAGTTCTAGTATTTGCAAGCGAGAGGGAACAGATTCAGTAACCTGAATAACATGCAACTTTCTCACCTAACATTTTCTTCCAAACAAGAGATGGTTTTGATATTCCTTCTCATGGCTTTTAGATGCGTATCATATTCCTGCCCAAGAAAGTTTGAACAATAATAATGATACTCCGTAGAATTTACTATAGAGTAGCCAACCCAATTCTTGGTAGGAAAGGGCTTAGTTTGGCATGGGATAATATACAAAAGAGTATATTGTGCATACACACATACATAAACCCACAATTTGGGTCCACTGATGTTTATGCAATCCTCAAGAATTTGAACCTTATATGACCCATCTATTTGATTAAAAATGCATAGCCAATGCACATTCATCATTCTCTCAAAAAATACTCCCTCCGTCTCTAAATGGATTACACTCTTTACTCCTCCAAATTTCCAAGATCACGATTACTTTTGTTTATTTGTGTGTTATCATTGACTATTTGCTATAATAGAATATTCTTGTCACATATTGTTTTGTAAAACTTTTGACATGGTTTTTAGATATGCAAGTTTTATATTTTATTTCTTTTTGTATACCATCCCCAGACTCTGCTTTTGTGGGATCCTAATAGGTTGTTTTTTTTATTTCTATATCAATTTGTAATTAAAGTAATTTGAAAAAATTGGTATTTTGCCTTGTAACTCCCTCCGTGTAATTCATTTAGGGATGGAGGGAGTTGCCACTATCAAATCTAAGCACAAAGCCCATTTGATAATCCTTACCTTTGTGGTGCCTAACCCCAATGCTTCATTCTTTGCAGTTAATTCCTTATACGCCATCAATCTTTTCTCCTCTAAATTCAAAGCATTTTTTGCACCTTTTATAATATCTCCTGTCACAATGCATAATTACAACCTCAGATAGAAGATAGCTACTGCTATCCTACACACATTAATCAACTGCATGATGCTAATATTACAAGTGTGACTTGTTGTGGGCTTGTGGCGCCTATTTGGCATTTGCTGGATATTGAAATCCTAAGATTTCAAAGCCCTCTTATTCACAACGTGGAACAGCCCAAGAAGAATTGAAACCGTATCACTAAATTATTTCAAAGCACCTGTTGATTGTAATGGATTATGCACATCTGGTCGAAATTCCACTGCCTTCCTTGAGTCCTTGTTTGCATCCTTGTAAGCATCATTGGCAATATCCGTATTGATCTCAGAGTCATTCTTCTGGGCAACCTCAGCTGTTTTTCTCTGAGCCACCAGTTCTGCAACTTTTAGCTTTTCCGCAACTTTTAGCTTTTCCATTCTCTCAGCATCTGCCTTCATCTGATGAATAAAAAAATACATGAATAGAAATAAATCTCAGCGTTCTTGTTTTTGCATTTTATATCAAGAGCACAAATATTGAAAAGTTTAAGCCATGTGAAGTAGTGAGATAGTGTTGACTATATTTGGCTATATTAGGTGTGGCTTATGAGCAGAGAACTCTACTAGTAAATCTTTCACATGGTGTAATTAAAATCAGTCTATTGCCAAACTTTCTCGTTCTTGCTTCAATTTCCACCTCTCGAGCAGGCAGTGCCCATTCAGCACCTGCTGGATCTACAAATCCTAACACTATGTTTGGTTCAAGGAATTTGAAAGGAAAAAGAAAAGAAAATGATATGGAAAACAATATTTCTTGTCAATTTTTCTTGTTTGGTTAGAGATGAAATGAAAAGAAAATAAAATGAAAGGAGAAAATAAGCTAAAAAAGAGGGAAAACAAGTTTCCTTCCATTTGGTGAAGAAAAGGAGAAACATCTTTCTTTTCTTTTCCTTTAAATTCCACAAACCAAACGTAGTTATGTAGCATAAGTTTTTGAGCACTCTTGTCTGAAAGGTAGAATGGCCAAGATTAAAATAACTATAAGCCCTAAATTGATAACTACTCCGTGACTCCGTGTGATACAAAGCATTACTTCACAGCGGCTGTAAGGAACCAAGTGAGCTGTAATGTGTGTGCATGTATGTATGCTGTGCAAATATTAGAACAAATTGAAAAAAAAAACTAATTTGAGATTTTAGAGAAGCAAAGAGACAAATATTGAGGTAAGGATTTCATTGATATAAAAAATACATTTGGAAATTTTATATTTATATGGAAATAAAAATATTGGGTGAGACAAAATCCAACCACTGCCTCTGCTCTATTTTTTTCTAGTGCAGCTTGCTGTTCCTTAAGATCCTTTTCTCTCCTTTTGGCCTCTTCATGGGCTGCATCATCTCGTATTCTCCTTTCTTCTATTTGGGATCTATGTTCATGATCCCTTTGTACAGCTATCAAGTGATCATCAAGTGCTTCTGCACTATTATAATTCAATAAAAGTCAAGAACTAAACAGGAGAAGAATATTGTTGAGACATGTGTATAGACACACACACATACTCATGTAAGAAGATAGTAAGAACCATTTGGTAGAATCTTGAGGGCGGCTAACACATTTCATGAACCCATATTCATCACTCTGAATATGCTTGAAATCTTAATTAACTTTTCAAAGTAAAGTTCTTGATTTATGAAAAATAGAACTTTACATTTTGCGCTGATATTGCATGCCAAGTCTTCGATCCATTTCCCGTAGTGTTTCAGCATACTTCTCAATTAATTGAAGTTTAGATGAAAAGATATGTTGCTCAACCATCTGATCTGTTTCTAACTCTAATACTTTGTTTCTCACTTCCTCCTGTTAATCGAAGAGAATGTGTTTATGCACTTGCAGGATAAAAGGAGTAGCTTGTGATAAGTAAAAGTATTCTACAAACCACCTGATGGTTGAAGGTGTTGTTTTCATTATAGAAAAAACAAAGAAAGATAGAATTGATCTTGGAGTAGAAGACGTTTTCTCATTGTTTGAAAAATCAAAGCTTTCACCAAACAAAAAGAATAAAATACAAATACTCCCTCCGTGCCGGGTTGTGGCAGGTAAATTCAGAAAACAAGAATTGTGTGGTTGACATTGTCGTTAAAAAGTAAGAACAAATGTGAGTCACGCAAATGTCACAAAATATGGTTTAGAAAAAAATAATGGGACAAGAAAAGAAGGGATGGAGGGAGTAATAAATACCAACCATAATGCTACGATGATGGTCATGAATTAGCTCAGACAAAGTCCCTTCCACCCACCCAACTTTATCCATTAGATGTTGCTCAACTTCAAGAGCTGCCTCATCTTCGAAAAAATCAGTATCACTGAAGGAAAAATAATCTCATATTCACCATTCAAAAAAACTTGGGAGGAAATAATAATTAAAAAAATGAATATAGTAGTTCTAGAATATTAGAGTAATAGTAGTAGTAATTTTTTAAAAAAACTTTGTTCAGGTGCCTTTGAATTTTACTATTGTATCATTTCAATTCCAAAGAGATGAGAAACACAACTCCGTTAAATGAAACACCAGAAGTCATGAAGAGGATTGCAAGTATAAATAATTATATACATTTCATAGCTGTACCTTGTGTATCTCTGTAGTTCTTTTGGGTAAAGGCCTTATATTTCTCATCATAACTTTTCCTTGATATCATTATATGTATGATGTATCTCATTATTAAATACTTGCTCCTATACAATCATTATGTAGATGATACCTGACATAAATTTCACCATGGGTAAAGTGCCTGCCTGCAGTGACAGACTGTTCAGAAACCTCATCTTCACTATCACTTACAGTATCTTCCACCTGCATCACAAAACCACGCCCCACACGGTTCTTTGAAGCAGAAAGATGCCTATGAAGAACAGAAAGCATGGCATCACATGGCTAGTCTCTACCAGTTAATGCAGATGCAACAATTAACTAACTCATTCTAAAAATACAGACCGAGAATGTGTTTTGGTATATGCTGGAAATTTTGGAGATGCGGCAACCCTCCTTTCAATTGATTTGAGCTCCAGCAATAGAGCATCAAAGCTCCAATCAGGCTGTGGATCAAGTGCAACCCCATCAACCTTTGCTGGAACCCTAGGTTTCAATTCCAAAGCTACCCTGCTCGGAAAAATCTAACTCCATTAATAAGAGAAATTGATCAAAATCTAAGATGCCTTGCCAAGAACATCAAAAAGAAGAAAAAGTATGTGTGAACCAGAGAAGATGAAACAGAAAAAAAAACTTAAATTGCATGAAAGAATAGAAAGGTCATAGATTCTTACATTTTCGCTGCCCTCTGACAAACGAACAGTAATAATGAAACAATCGTTGCCTTGATTCTTGACCCTTGATTATTTAAATAAGACTTAGTTCGAGGAAAGTATGGATAAGTCTATAGATCCTTCTAAATCATTAATTTATTTTAAAATGGTCTAAACAATTTTGAAAAAAATCATAAATCCAAACAAAAAATCATGATTACAGCAGTATTCAACCAATTCGTGAAAAGAATTCATAATCCCCAATAGAAAATCAAAAACCCAAACCGAAAAAAATCAAAAACCCAAAAGCTCAAAAAATGGAAAATGTATCATTAATTTTCCAAAAACAATGTTAGGTTTAAAAGACGATAATTATGCTAATGGCAAGGAGTAGGGGATTTCGATTCTTACTTGGTGGACGACAAAGGTGCTGAAGATGACGATGTAAATTTCTTGCTGAGACTAAAGTGCGGCAGAAAACGAATTTGTTGGCCTTTTTTAATTAATGAATAAGTTCTATAATCTGTATTCTGTAGTCTCCAATTTGTATCCTACAGCCCATTGTAAGGTTCTTCCCCGAAAAATTTATCTGGCGCAAGGTTAGGGTTTGGGACTGCAGCGTCTTCCACCAACCGTCAAAGGAAGGGGAGCGTGCGAGGAGACCAGCAATCGATCGATGGAGAGGCCAACACAGTGCCTAGGAGGCGGCAGAGATCGACAGGTGAAGGTGGTGGAGAAGGGCGGATGGGATGCTATGATGTACAGCTAACCTTTTAGCATTAGCATATAATAATCTGAATCGTTAAATTTTAATACAAAAGCTAATCCGGAAGACGGCAAGGAACTTGGAGATAGGGGTTTTTAACTTATTTTGTGTGTGATTATAAATTTATTTATAAGTTATTTATAAGTCAGAAAAAATAAATAAGTCTTAGCTACTTATTTTAAAACAAATTATTTATCTGTTATTTAAGGCATTTTAACTCTATGAAAGAATATTTGATTTATAAGCAACTTATAAGTTAAAAAAGAAATCACTCTTCATAGCACTTTAACTCACCCTAAAATACGCATTTAGCACTACTCATTGTTTTTAACAAATTTAGCAATTTATGGTGTCAATCCTTTTCTATCATACCCTTTACTCCTTTTTGTTTTTTCCATTAAAAATTTCGGCAGTATTCCAATCTATAGCTGCATGTAGTTGCACTCCATTATTAAATCTATAGCCGCACGTAATAGCAGCACATAATTGCACTCCATTCTTTTAATTGCACTCCATTCTTTTAATTTAATTCTTATTAAATTAATTCTTATTGAATTGCAAAAAGTAAATAAGGTATAAGTTTCATTCTTTTAATTCTTATTAAATTCCTTGTGAAATGTGGAAGTGTACTACGACAGTGAATTTTTGGCTGTGTATATATTGTGGCAGTGTAGATATATTGTGTCAGTGTATATATTGTGGAAGTGTATTTCAAACTGAGTTTTTGGCATTGTGTATATTTTGTCGCAGTGTATATATTGTGGCAGTGTATTTACACATTGAATTTTTGGAAGTACATATTCTAGCAGTGTAGAGATTACATATTGCAGTGTATAATTACCATAAAAAATTAAATCTCACGGCTTAAAATGAATTCTGCTCTTTTTTTAGAGTTGTATGTGTTAGGGCACTAAATTCAATCTCAAACATATTGTGGCATTGAAGAGCATATAATTTCATACTTATTTATAATGTGGCAGTGAAGAGTGTGTATACATTGCAGATGGCCTATCACAATTTCTGACCAAAGTAATAAGTAAATGACCACTAATCCATGGAAATTCTGCGACATCTAATATAACGCCAAAAGGAGATTCTCTGAATCTGTCTAGTTCTTCTGTAGTCAGAATTTTCTTTATCTGTTTTGCGACCTCATTCACGTTACAATACATGTTAATCCTCCCATCTTGCATAACACCTTTAGAGGCCACTTCAGCTTCCTACAACAACATAATAGAGCATCAAGGTAAGCTTCACAAATCCATCTAACCGGGTAAAAAGAAAAATACACCCTCAAAAAGTAGAAAAAAGCTAAAATGCACCCTCACTTTTCTTAAATACCTTAATCCACCCTTAAAATGTATTGTTACTTCCACTTAAGTCTAAATATCAAACGTCGTTAAAGAGAAAGTAATAGAACCTCTTCTATCTTTATTCTCAGAAAGTAATGCACATTTATTCTCAGTTCTATCTTTTTTTTGCTTAAGACCAATGCTGCATTTTTTCATGCCAAAATCTACCAAACCATTGCCTTTAAAATATCATCATCACCATTGCCAGCGTAGTCATTCCACCCATCATTTTCCAAACAAATTTGTCATGGGTGACCTCTTTTTGGATTTCAACACAATGATGCAAAAACATGAATTTTCAGCTTCAAATTCTTAAGGAAAGTAAAAAAAATAATCAATTAAAATTATTAATCGTACCTTGAAATTGGGGATCATGGAATACCTTCTCCCATGATTTCTCTTGTTCTCGCAAGTTCAAAGGGCCAAAGTGTAGCCACAATCCTAGGGTATGACTATAATTGACTCACCTGTGAATATAATTGATGTTAGAGCTTCTTCTGTCTGCACGGTGGCTGGGAAGAACGAAGAGCACTAAGGAGATGTGACTAGGGTTTATTGGGTGGGTATGTTTTAATTTGGATACTAACGGAAGTGAACGACTTTAGATTTTTAGATGTGAAGTGGGAAGTAATAATACATTTTGAGGGTGTGTTATGATATTTAAAAAAAGTGAGGGTGCATTTTAGTTTTTTTTCTACTTTTTGAGGGTGTAATTTGCTTTTTACCCCATCTAACCACACTTACATGATGAAATTTGTACCACTAAAAGATTAAAACAATATAATGCATAGTTCATAGAAATACATTTTCCCTTATACTAAGCGGAATCAATCAAATTTTAATAATGCATAGTTCATAGAAATACATTTTCCCAAAAAAACAAATATGTTTCACTAGAGAACAAAAAAGCCAAAAAAACACACTAACAACAAATGTTTCTTGGAATCCAAAAAATCCAAAAAAAAACTATTTTATACCTCCTAATGCAAAAAACCCAAAAAAAACTTTGTCTGTTTGATCACTTTAGTAACGTAACTTGGAATCCAAAAAACTACTGTTTTCATTAAGGGTAGAATACTTTATTTCTAGACCCGTTACGAAACAATTAAACACTACACTGCCCAATAAAACAAAAAACCAAAAACACAAAAAAACAATTATTTTCAGTGGAGTACGAAAAATCCCAAAAAATACTCTGCGAAAACAGAAAAAACCAAAAAATATCAATTACGTCTAACTTTCAAATACATAAACCCTTAAAAACGACACTGCCCAAAAAAAAACACACACCCACAAACAAGAAAAATAATAAATTAAAACTAAATTGTAGCCATTGGAAATATGGAATGGTCCAATAATAAATTAAAACTAAATTTTTAGTTTCAGATGGAAAGCCATTTATTCCTTCACGCTAGCACGCATCAGATTTATTTTAGAAGGAACAAACCAAAATTTTGCCTCCTCTTCTTCATCACAGCGTAAATAGCCAGTAGCAGCCCAAAAAACGAAAAACCCAAAAAAACGAAAATCCAAAAAAAAGCAATGAATTACGTCTAACATTCACAAAAAACCCTAAACGTGTTCAACAAAGCCAAAAAAAATTCATTACGTTGATCAAAAAAACACTGCCACCTTAAAAATTAAAACACACTGCAGAGAACCTAAGGGAAACAATTCAAAAAACACACTGCAGAAAATTAAAACACACTGCAGAAAATAATTAAAACACACATTGCAGTGAACCTTCAACAAAAAACACACTGCCAACCCGAAAAAAAACTTTTTCTAAACTTTGTAAGAGAATATTTTTTAAAAACAAACTCACTGCCAAAACGAATCATACATGTATCTTCTCCAATCTTTTGCTTAGAGGGATCTCGTCTAGTGCACCTTCGCTTGCCATTGAAACCCTAGGTCTCCTTCCGAAAGCTGCTGCGTTCGGCTTGCGTTTGGCAGTGTGACGAGGAATCATCCAAGGAATATCGTGTGAGGCTTGCGTTCGGCTACTGCGTTTGGCCCCTAAAACCTTTTTCTTAACCTAATTAGGGAGAATTCAATTTTAAGTGTTTATTTAAGGACAAAAAAGGGAATTCATCTCAAAAACTAATAGCACTGCTATTTTGAGTATTAAAGTGCTATTAAAGTGCTATTTTCGTATTTCTCCCAAGTTAAAAACTCTTTATCAATAATAAGCTAATACTCTCTTTGTCCGAGAAAGAACTTCCCACTTTAACTTTTCCTCATTTTTGAGATTAATGTATCCTTGAGACATACGTCCTTTCTAGATAACTTTTTTGAATAATGACGTAATAATGTATTCGGATTGCATTTAACATTGATAAATTCTCTAGAGTGCGGGGAGGCGGCAGCGATCCACAGGGGAAGGTGGTGACTAAGGGCGTCTATGGTTAGAGTAGATGGGATGGGATGCTATGAAAAAGCTGTGTATAGTTACCTTTTAGCATTAACATTTTTAAAGTAATTTACATCGTTAAATTTTAATCTCAAATACTTATTCAAAAAAATATTTTTAATCCATGAACTCAAATAGAACATGTTGCAATTTTAGGATTTTTGATAAAAACTTTAGTTTGAATCACAATGAAATAATAGTTTAATTTAATAAGTTTAATATAATGATTTTTATTCTACTCGTTAAAATTTAATGAATCCTTCCCTTTCTTTTCCATTCACTCCCATCCACTCCTTCCCCTTCCTTCCCCTCCAACCAAACATACCTTACACTGTGTTTGTTTGGAGGTAGGGAGAGGTAGAGAGATGTAGATTTAATATTCTACCTTGTTTGGTAACAAAAATAGAGATAGGTAAAGAGAGGTAGGGGAAGGTAGAGGGAGGTAGGGTAACTCTTTTTCCGCAGCTATCCTTCACTCCGGATCGCTGTGTTCCCGATAGAAAACCAATGGCCTATCTTCACATCGCCATACTCGTCTTCCGATCGTCATCTCCAACAACACAGGTTTTCCGATTTTTTCACTTCAATTTTCAATTTTTTTTCGTTATGCTCTGCTCTGCTTTGCGTGCGTCGTTCTGCTTTTGCTTCCTTCAATATTTTTTCGTTCAATTTTTTCACATCGCCATCGTTTGCTTTTGCTTCAATTTTTTTCGTTCAATTTTTTCACATCACCATCGCCTGCCTTTGAATTAATTGTTCTTCTTTTGAGAATTTACATGATGAGACAAGCAGATTGTTTAAAAATCTAGCCATGTTTCAGTACTTCTTAAGACTGTCTTTACTTTTTGCTTACTTCACAAATTTCATTCTCCACAGATTTTCAATTTTACTCCAGTTTTTTTGCTTCCTTCAATTTTGCTTTCATTTTCCAGTTTATGCTCAATTTTCAGTTTAAGCTTTCCTTCACCTTTTTTTTTCACTTTTATTTTCAATTTTCGTTTTTTTTGTGTCCATTTTTTTCAGTTTTCATTTCACTCTTTTTTTCATATAAATATATCCTAAACAAATACTTCCTTCGTCCCACTATATTTGTCCACTTTCATTTTTGCACACCATCCAATGCACTTCTTTAATCCATTTTATCTTGTAATTTTTATATTAAAAAATTATATATTAATAATCTATATGTTAAGACAAATCAAACAAGATCACGCATGACTATATTTAGGCTTACACATTGAGAGAATTTGATGAGTCAAAGTTCTTAGATGAACAATTCCAAAAGTCAAAAGTGGACGAATATAGCGGGACGGAGGGAGTAAAAGATAAACAACCACAAGGATATTTTAGTAATTTTATTCTTTCCCTACCTCATGTTACCTAATAAACATCCAAACACATTTTTTTAACTCATTACCTTACTTTACCTACCTTCATTTACCTACTTTCAATTACCTACCTAATAAAACTTGTACCTACCTCCAACCAAACATAGCGTTAGTGTGTAGAGTAAAAGTTAGTGTTTGGGTGGAGTGTGACTCTTACTGCCACCTTACCCATTAAATTATGGAGAATTTACCAATGTTCAATGTCCACAAGTCATTGTTCAAGTAAATGTCTACTGACCGTCATTGGACATTGCTCAAACTAAATGTCCATCATCACTAGACATTATTCAAATACTATTTAGGGAATAAAAAAAGTTTAGGAACTACATTAGTAAAAGGCATATGTTTTAGTATTTAGTGCAAATTTTACTAAGAGGAATTTATCTAAATAGTACTAAAAAAAGTGATTTTCGCAATTTAGCATCATATGTTTTTATTTCCCAATGTAGTACCAATGTTCAATGTCCACTGATCATTGTTCAATTCATTTCCGCCACCACAGGACATTATTCAAACTAAATGTCCACCATCATTGGACAATGTTCCCACCACTAGACATTATTCTAGTACTCCGGGTACTATTTAGGGAATAAAAAAGTTTAGATACTACATTGGGAAAGGACATATGTCTTAGTACTATTTAATGCAAATTTTACTTAAACTATTGCGTTATATTTTCTAGATGTGAAAACAATGAACGATATGTTATTGAGAATGAGCACTACGTTATTTGAAAATGAGTACTACGTTATTTCAGAATTAGCACTATATTATTTGTAAATAAATATTATAATTGTATTGAAAAATATGTGAAAAATAAATACTACATTATTTTAGAATGAGTACTATTTAATTTCAGAATGAGTATTACATTATTTCAAAATAAACACTTATGTTTTGTGCGAGAATTAATACTACTCTATTTCAAAATGAATACTAGTCGGTTCTACCTTGCTTCTAGTACAACCGGCTGTACCATATACACACTCTCTGTGATCGGTATTTTACATTAAACTAGTGTCAACCCCGTGCTTCGCACGGGCTCTTATACATTCTAAACTTTTGACATTCTATAAATATAATTTTATTTATTTTAAATGAATATTTTTCACTCTAAGATATACAGAGTATATTTTTTAAATAAAAAATATACTTTAAATATTGATGTACATGCACTAAAAAATCTATAACTATTTTATCTAAAAAATATTAAATTAAATAAACCATAAAAATGCCAAAAATAATTTAATATCTTTGAAGGTGAAATCTATTTTCATTTTTCTGAAAGTGAAATGTTTTTAAATTAATAATAAAGAGTCTTATACATACTCTTCTTTAAAATTTTACAATCAATATGCATATTTAAAATACGGAGTAAATTTTACAATGGTGAAATATATGTATATAAAATTGTTAGAAAATGTTAAATTTTATACAAAATATAATCAAAGAAATGTTTTTTAATGCTAAAAAATAATATTCACTTAATATAATACAATAAAATATATTAAAAGATCCTTTTAAAAAAAAGCTTAATGGACCAATGAAATACTTCCACCTCATACATTAGTGCACATGTGGATGCACATGTGGCATGCCACATGTCAACACCACAAACACACTCAACTTTACAATTATATATATATATATATATATATATATATGATAGGATATAGGACTAGCGTTTTAACGACGCACCGGATTAAAAAAAATTCTTTTAAAGAAACTCAAACCTCTTTAGTTTAAATTGGAGGGGTGTGTTCGGGGCAATTAAAGAGAGTGGGGAAGCGTTCTGGTCAGGGCGGGCCCGGTGGAGGGTTTACCGAGGGGATTAAGAGAAGTAAGAACTGTCAATTTTACAAACGGAGTACTCTCTTCAATTGCCCCTGAGGTGATGGTCAGAAAAGGGATACGACGGCGCGAAGGCGGATGCTTGGTCTTCCGGAGTCATCCTTTTTGCTTTCCTTGCAGGGAGCCTTGCGTTTGACGACGGCAATGTATCAAACATGTACCGTGCAGTGCGAGCCCGAGCCTTCAAGTTCCTGGATTCGATTTCCAAGTCTTCCAGGTACATAAACAAGCGTCTGCTCAATCCTAATCCGTTGACAAGATTAGGGTTAGAGGAGTTAATGAAGCTCCCATGGTTCAAGAAATCATCATCCCAATCAAATTTGACAGGGGAACAGCAAGTCCTTGAAGATGATTCCGACACCGATTGCAAAGGCTTGAGGAAAATGAATGCGTTCGATTTAATATCAATTTCTCCTGGGCTGGATTTATCGGGGCTCTTCGGGGCGGGATCCGACAAGAAAGTAATGAGATTCACCACAAATGCGGGAGTGAGAGAGGTTGAGGAGAAGGTGAAGAAAATTCGTTGCATAGAGGGGTACAGAGTGGAGAGGAGGTGAAGAGGAGGGGTGATTAGGTTAGTGAAAGAGAGGGTAACATTGGTGGTCGAAATTCAAGAAATGGCGGCAGAGCTATGGCTGGTGGAGATGAAGGTGGTCAATGGAGAAGCGACATTCGATAGGAAGGAGTGGGAGGAATTCATGATTGGGTTGAGAGTTGTGTGCTGCTTCATGGTGGGTGGCATGAATGAATTGAATTGAAGGTACACACTGATAAATCTTGAATTGCCGGTGGATTTGTGGAGGAGTTTGTAAATGAAATGTTTTTCTGTTTTTTTTGTGTTTTTTCTTACAGAGAAGAGTGGTAAATGCCTATAGGTTTGTTGATTTTCTTCCCCTTTTGTACTTGTGTTTTTCATTCTTTCATTCAATGCATAATATTGGAACAAATATACATCATCAGTTCATTTTTATAATATTCCATCTCTTGGGACTTCCATTAATTTTTTATTTGAAAAAAAAGGATGAGTCCCATCCCGAAGACTCCTCTAACCTAGCTGAACAGTTACTGAGAAAAATTAAATTTTAATTTCAATAGTAGGTTGGAGGCAAAGAATAGAGCCTTGCACTTGAGTCGACACTTTTTGTCTTATCCAGAATGATTTTTTATTTTTTAAGAAAAATACTCATTTGAGAGAGAGTTGCAACAGGAGAATATGACATGCTGTCTTTTAGCAAAAGTGTTTTATATTCCATTCTATTCATTGTTGAAGTGATTATCGTTCAAAGAAATGAGAACCATATCAACATACGCAAATCAATTTTAAAATTAAAGATGAAACCATTCTTGGCCTTATGCCTGGAAGGAGATAAATAATTGACACGACTGTCCTTTACTGTATATAGTACTGGGTGGTTTCCCTCACATGTAAAGAAAGTAAGAAACTAAAACCAAATTCCTAAAACCAACTCTCTAATTCCTCATGCACACTTAGTCAAAAAGTGCCAATTGTGCTTTTTTTGCTCTGACATGATCAACACAAGTGGGAGTAGTTTATTCCTTCTGCATTCTTCAGTATTTATCCATTTTTAATTTCTTTTAGTCAAAATTGGTAAATTTTGACCTTAAATTAAATAAAAATGATATTAGATATTAATACAAAAATAGTTTCATTAGATTTTTTATATCAAATACTTTCAAAATATTATTTTGTATAATTAATATACAATATATATTTTATTAAATGTTGAAAAACATTGACCGAAAAAAAGTCAAAAGTGAGTAAATACTCGGGGACAGAGATAGAAAATATTGACACAATGTGACTTTTTAAGTCAAACTGTGGTACCCTTTGACCACAAATTAAATACTTTTAGTCACAATTTTATTTAATTGAAACTCAAAGTTCATCTAGTTTGATTTGAAAAAGTCAAACTAGAAAATACATTGAAACGTGGGGAGCATAATTTTGACGTTATGCTTCGCTTATATTTTTAGGTTAGAGATTAGATTTAAAATATATTTTTCGTAAAAAAAAACTTATAAGTGTGATACAATTGTTGGACATGAGTTCCCATTTTGTATTTGTGTTTTCATTCAATACATAATACTGGAACAAATATACATCATCAATTCATTTTCATAATATTCCATCTCTTGGGCCTTCCATTAAATTTTTTGGAAAAAAAAGGATGAGCTCCATCCGGAAGACTCCTCTGACCTAGCTGGATGGTTACTGAGATCGAAGAGATAAATTGTATTTTAATTTCATCGTATATCGGAGGCAAAGAGGAGTGCAAGGATGAGCTCCATCCGGAAGACTCCTCTGACCTAGCTGGATGGTTACTGAGATCGAAGAGATAAATTGTATTTTAATTTCATCGTATATCGGAGGCAAAGAGGAGTGCCTGTACCTGGTACTTGCAGTTGCGAGGAATCGAATTAGTGTCTTATTACTTTCTAGGCACTTTTTGTCTTATCGAGGATGATTTTTAAAAATTACTCTGATTTGAAAGAGAGATGCAATCGGGTGAATATGACATGCTGTCTCTTAGCAAGTGTGTTTTATATTCCATTCTATTCATTGTTCAAGTGACGATCATTCAAAGAAATGATAACCATATGACCATATCAACATACTCAAATCAATTTTAAGTTTAAAGATGAAACCATTCTAGGTCTCTGCAATATGTCTGGAAGGAGATAAATAATTGACACGGTTGTCCTTTACTCTATATAGTACTGCATGGGTGGTAACAACAAGTATACCACATGGTTTTAATCTACTATATTTATGGAATATCTTGCCACTAATCCATTCAGGTCATTTCCTAGAGTTCTCTAGGTGATATGTTCAACATTCATTAACAGTTCATATAACAACATTCGTAAACCAACAATGCATTATCAATATATCAAATATAATCAAATAGCGGCCTAACACTGGGTGTATACACCCATGTTTACCATCATTCATAACGCAAAGTCTCAAAATCAATCCTTCCTTGACAAAAATACAGACCAACAAACCCAACATAGACCTGTCGCGAGACCCGATGATACTTGTCGCGGTTCTTGACAATGCCTGTCACGGTACCCGTCCTCACGGTACCTAGGTACCGGTCCTACGGTACCGGGGGTACTGACCGAATCAAGTGGACTCTTCCGGTAGGCCTGTCTCGGTAGCCACTACCGACATGGCGGTAGGGCCTACCGTCCGTCCGGTGGTTAGGTACCGTACAGTCATATGTACAGACAGAGCTGAATGAAGATAACAGAGTATGGCGGTAGCACGGTACCGTCTCGGCGGTACCGCCTACCGTCTAACGCAATGATTTTCCAGCTTCTGCACCTGTTTCTCTTTTTCAACCTCAAACCAACAACAATTTCTTAACAATAAACATCAATAGGTTCATATTTACATTCCTAACATTCTCTTACATCATTATAAACTTAGCCATGTCGTTTATTACTTCCTAACCATAAACAACATACACAACGTATACTTCACATAGGATTTCACATAACTCAACTGTAATTAGGGGTGTTCAATCGGATCGATCCGATCCGATCCGATCCGAAAATTCGGATATCCGAAAATTTCGGATCATGCAAAACTCATTCCATATCCGATCCGAAAATATTCGGATATCCGAAATTCGGATATCCGATTTTTCGGATCGGATCATTGGATTATCCGAAAAGTTGAGTTTTTAGCCAAAATTTATAAAAAAAAAGGTAAAATAGCAAAATCAACCCAAAATATCAAATTCAATATAGATTTACTAAAAGAAAAATTCCACCACTTGGTAATGGCCTAATAAAAAAATGATACCAATTTAATTTGGGAGTAACTTTGGTAATTTTGCCTAAACAAGCAAAAAACACTATTAAAACAAAAAATTCTAAAATGCTAATGCAAAAAGTCCAAAATGGGTGATTTCCAAAATCAACATAAAATTACATTTAAACATATAGTCATAATATATATCCATAAAATTCCAAAAACATATAGCAAAAAAAAATCGAATATCCGATTATCCGAAAAAATCCAAAAATTTAATCCATATCCGATCCGATTTTTTTCGGGTATCCGATCCAAAATATCCACAAGCTAAAATATCGGATCGGATATCCATTTTTCGGATCGGATCGGCCCGGATCGTGGACGGATATTTCGGATCGGATATTTTTGAACACCCCTAACTGTAATGGTTCTACGAACGTAAGATTCAAACCTATGAATATAACTATACGTTAGATGTCCACGTACTTACCTCGAATACGACGATTAGAAATCTATGAATGATACCAACGAATCACGTGAGTGGCGTGATTTTCCTTCTTCTTCTTCTTCTTTGAAGAATTATTATTTTCTATATTGAACAAGGAGAACACGGCTTCGTATTTATAGCAATGTTCGAAAAGGCGTATTGCGGTTTTGAGACGTTTTCATTTCATGGCGTATTGCGTAAGCCTTGAGGCGTTTTGAGGCGTAAGCCTCAATTTTTAAATTGAAAAATATTCACAAAAGCAATTTAAAACCAAAGATAGAACATAATGTATAACATAAATAATCCAATAACATGAAAAATGTATTGTCAATGTAAGACATCGTAAACATAACAAAGTCTAACATGGAATCAGACATAATATTGCTCGAAGTGATGAGCTTAAATTGAAGAATTGAAAAAAAGTTCATCAGTGTCTAACGGCTTGAAATTAGGATCAAAAGATGTTGCATTTCCTTCATTCTCTTCCTTGGAATTTATGAAAAAATCTTCTCTAATGGGATCTCGAAACATAATATCATCTTCTTCATCTTCTTTAACTTCATCAATAAGCTGTATTGCTTTTCTTTTCCCAAGGCGTTGCTTTTTTGAAGGATGTCCTTGAATTTTCCTTGGCCACTTGGGTTGGTGATTGTTTCACTAGCAGTATCACCTTGAGTATAAACTTCAGGACCATCACCATGAACATCATCACTCTCGACAATTATATCAGCTTCACGAACAACCCACTCATCATCTGAAGGAATTTCATCCATCGCCAACGGATCTTCCTCAACTTTCAATGATGCTTTCTTCATCCATTTACTTTTCAATCTTTTGTTTTGCATCATGTAAACCATTTTATTCAAATTCTTGGTAAGCAAGCGATTTCTCTTCTTCGTATGGATCTACAAATTAAATATGTGTAAGTCGATGGATCACAAAACAAAATGTAGATATGTGGATATGTATACCTGATTAAATGTGCTCCAATTTCTTTCACACGCAGATGACGAACATGTAAGACTTAAGATTCTGATCGCACATGCCATTAGTTCAGGAGTCTTATCTCCATATTGGGTCCACCAATCAACTGTATTATTTATAAAAAATAGGTGCATTAACAATATATATATATATATATATATATATATATATATATATATATATCTGTGTGTGTGTGTATATATATATATATATATAAAATTTAAAATCGGTAATGATATTTGGTAAGAGCAATTTACTTACCAGAACTCCGTTTATGCACAGTGTTTTGTGCAACGTCATGTCCAAAGAATCCCCGCTTCAGTCGAAAGTCATCCATTTGCAAATGAAGTTTTTCTAGGATCTTTGGATCTGGAAATAGCTTAGCCATACATCTAAATAATCCTGCTTTCACCTCTTGATGTGTAGACATTTTCGGATCATACTGATAGCGAGGATTGAGGTAATACGCTGCAGCGTGCAAATCCCGATGCAATTGTAATTCCCACCTCTTATCAATTATTTTCCAAATCTCATTATAAGAGCCAAAGTCATGTCCTAAATTCTCTAAAATTTCTTCCTTTGCTCGATCCATACAACCATATAGAAACCCCATACCGGGTACCTTCTCTGAATCTGCCATTCTCAGCACTTTAAACAATGGCTTTGTTGTTTGGACTGAATACTGCACGCTCGGCCAGAAATATTTATCACGCAGAATTATTTGTTTCACAGCTTTTGCCTCTTGTGTTTTGGATAAATGGTGTCCATTCCATTCCTTTGAAACACACAATTCCTCCAACTTCTCTTTAACGCCTAACATACTTTCAAGTGTAAGATAGGCCGTACCAAACCTTGTAGCTGCAGGACGAAAAAGAACTCGTTTTGTAAACTCTTGCATCAATGCCAATGACCATCCGTGATTATATATGTAATGAGTCACCTACGATAATTTGTAAATATAATATAAGATAATGATAAGGTAATTGAATGTTTGGTTGGAAAAACATTTTAGATTGAAAAAATGAAATGCATTACCTTCTTTGCTTTCACCCATGCATTCTTGTGTTGAGGAAGCTTCTCAATATCCTCTAGCATCAAATCAATACAGTGTGCCGCACATGGTGTCCACCACAGTCGCTTTCGTTTTTCAGATAACTTCTCACCGGCAGCCCTGTAGTTCGAAGCATTATCGGTAACAATCTGAGTCACAATGTCTTCACCTACCTCTTCTACAACCTCATCAAATAGATTACACAATATATCCGCATCTTTTACATGCCGAGAAACATCAACCGTTTTTAAGAAAAGAGTGCCATAAGGATTATTAACAAGAAAATTTATTAACTATCTTTCTCGCATATCTTTCCACCCACCAGAAAGTATGGACACCCCGGTTTGTGTCCACGTCTTTTTCACATCCTCAACAATTTTTTGAGTTGTTTTTACCTCTTCATCCAAGATCCAGTGGCTCAATTCATACAGTGTAGGTGGCTTAAAACCCCTGCCAAAATTTCCAATTGCACGACACATGTTTATGAACGAAGGAGAATTTGCAACATGAAATGGAATACCATTCTCAATATAAAATCTTCCCACATCTAGGCAAACTCTATCTCTAGCTTCCCTTTCGCTCATTGGTTTTTCTGGAATAGTATTAGGAGTATCAACATTAACATCCACAACAAATCTATCCATTGGACCGCGCACTCCTCTATTAGAGTTGCTATCACCGCTTGATGAACCCACAATTGCCTCTGTATTTCGGTAGTACGCACCACTATCAATGAGCTCCTCCCGATTTCTTAAGTTCACCTGCTTCGTTTGTACGACCAAATTCAAAGTAGATAACATTTCTTGTTGAACTTCATCAGGAACCTTTTGACAAGGTACTGAATTTTTCCTTGTACTAGCAAGATGATGCTTAAATCGACTAATCCATCTCACCTTTGACATCTTTTTTATAAAAATTGCAGTTTACATATTTGTAGTTTTTTTGTCCTTCGGTATTGGGTGTTGAGTCAACACCATACTTCCATGCTGGGTCCGACATTTAAGCAATATTCTAATTTCTGAAACACCAAAATAAACAATACAATACTATGCAATAATTCATCTTAAAAACAAAAAAATAAAACAATTAGCACATCAATTATCAAAAAAAAGAAAAAAAGAGATTAATAGCTAAAAAAATCATCTAATCCAACTACTTGAAAAAATACCAATCATAAACTCATAAAAACATCATTTGAATGCTAGTGTACTTCACAAAAAGATTACTAAAAAAATAGAAAAATAAAAAATAGCACCACTTGACAAGTGTTCTCTTTCTTTTTAAAATCGTTAGTTGTAGGAGAGATTATGAAGAGAAATGGTAGCCTGTACTTATTCTGATCACCATAAACACTAAAAGGTTGAGAATGTTTTTGCAATAATTATTGAGAAGTATTTTAAGAATGAGAATTACCAACCAGAAGAAACGAAAAGGGCAGAGAGACTGCTGCTTCAGAGGAAGAAAGAGTTCTGGTTTAGAGGTACAAAGACTTCTGGTTATCTTTTTAGTCCTTCATGAAATTAAAATTACGGATGAAAAATTAAGGCAAGAACTGATTAATCGCAATTAAGATAGTTACCATTATCATCACGTAGTTGATTTTTACGTTTATGACCTGTTTTAATTGTTTTTTCCAAAAGTGTATATACATTGGATGAGAACAAATACATTTTTTCTCTATTTTTTGTGTATAGCAAAGTAATCCGTAGGGATTGTAGAACCCTAAAAATGAAGTCATTAACAATATCCAATAGCTTATATATGATAGTAGTTTTATGAAATTTAATTTGAATGGAGAAGTAAAAATATACGTGGGAGTGAAGATGGTTTTGACACAGGAACCCATGAGCACAGTACATTATCTGTATGTAAACTTGGAAAAATAATTACTCCCTCCGTTCCACAAAACCCTTCCTTTTTCGTTTTTTGCTTTCTACAAAACACTTTCACTTTCTATTAAAAAACCACTTTAACCCCTACCTTTTCATACCCTACCTATCACATCATACTTTTTCACTAATAACCAAACTATCACATCTTACTTTTTCCTATCACATCGGGTGCAAAACTGTTAATCTACCTACCGGTCAAAGAATCCTCAAGTTCAATTTTTGACAAATTTTTGCACATTTGAAAACGACATAAACCATGCGTGTGTATTACTCTGTATAAGTCACATTCCTGACAAGATAGAATATTTGGAATGGAAAAGGGTCAGATATGGTCAAAGTTTGAATTATTTCTATTAAATTTTTAATTCTTAAAATTCGTATTTTTTTTATTTCTCTCTTCTAAATAAAGAACTATAGCTCAAAACCAATTTAGATTTTACTACAAAGCAACTCAAATTAAAACACAACCAAAATGATGAACATATGTTAGAGTCCTAGGAGACAAGCCCAAACCTTGGTGGATTGGAGCAAGATGGCACATCCTAAACACCAAACATTTCCTGTCTCTTTCGTTAAGAGAGATTGCCTGTTAAAGAAGTAGATTGGCCAAATGCATGTTTTTATTGAGACACTAAATGTGAGCTATATGTGGAATGGCTGAGGCAGATTCTAACGATATGTCTTCTTTGATTGTGGTTATGCTACTGCAGATTGTGAAGAAAGTAATGAATGAGATAGAGGCACACAGAATAAACCTCTGAGGAAAGCTTACAGGTCTGTGCAAAAGCTTAGCAAAAAAGAAGAGGACAACATGGTGAGTGCTTAGCCTGCCTTTTTTGTGTGGAAAGCTAGAAATGAAGTTTTATCCATTACAGTTGATTCTATCAATGAACCACTACTGCAAGGAGTGCAAAGGGAGGGACAGTAAGTAGGACTGATCTCAATGTCTTCCTAGCCTTGGATTCACACTTTGTTTCTTTTTGTTGGTTTACATGTTGTTTTGATGTTTGGGACCTTTTCATTTTTCACTTCTTCTTTAGAAGTGTGATTAGTGAAGTGATTTTCTTGGTTCCAGAAAATGATAAGCATGTGTTTCTTGATGAAGAATTGAGAAGAATACACATTTCCTTTACCCACAACTGAGTTGCAGTGAAGAATTACTCACAGTAAGTCATAACATCCATATTGCCCAATTTTTGACCACTAATTAAATATAAATGATACTCCTTATTAGATAATATATTACAAAAATATTTTTATTAGATTTTATCCTTTCGTCTCATTTTAAATTTTGTGTTTACGTGGTTTGATTGAAACTCTTTTCAACTCAATTTAATTTCAAATTGGTGTAGCAATAACAAACAAAATTTGTATATTAAAAGCTGTATTAAAAGATCTACAAATCTACAAAATAAGAGAAGATAAAAGTATTTTATTTTATTAAATGAGTAGTGAGAATAGATAAGAACATGGTTGTGTGTTTTGGCTGTTGTACGAATATGACATTAAGAGTGTTTAAGAATAAAGACCAAGCGTTAGTAAGTAATGACGTTCTATTTAAACACAAGCCCAAAACCATATGGACAAACCTGGAATCCTGCAAATCTAGCATGAAGGATTTAACTGTCCGGCGATTAAAATTCTTGTTTGTTACATCTCCTTCACTGCAAACTTGTCCAACAACATGTTTCAAAATAACACCGGTGAGGTTGTTTGGTCCATACCATTTAAATTTAGAGTGATGGCCAAAGAGGTAATGTAATACTTTATGAATTTGTGAATGAGCATAACAGCAGTTTATATGTCTGTGAATCAGAGAACGTTCTGATCCAAAACACCCCGTAATTGAGTATCCATTGGAATAGCAACCTGTTCATCAATCAAAGGAAGTTAAACCACAAAAAGGTTGCATATCAAATATGTTATATTATTTTTTTCTTTGGTTGTTTCTACTGTGGAATTCATAATGTTTTTAGTACCTGATTTATTGGGTAGTATGCGTCGAGTGGTCCCGTGGAGCTGGAGTACCTGCAATAGGGAAACGTTAATGGTGTTGTGGAGTATTTTGTGTGTTTTTCTTTCTGTTTTTTTACTTGTATTAAATGGTGCATGTATATGTTGTTACTGTTTATGTCAATGTGTTGG